TCTTATCTCAAGTCATACTTTTGTTTGCGTTTCTCTCATCTCGATACATATATCTCTATACAGTCTTAACGACCACCCTTGTTAACGACTAATCGCTTAACGACGGGCCTCCATAGAGCCCAATGTGTAGTGTATAGTAGTGTAGAGTAGTGTAGTGTATAGTAGTGTAGTGTATAGTGTAGTGTATAGTAGTGTAGTGTATAATAGCGTAGTGTGATTCCAGATATACAGTACCCTGGTGTCTACAAACGAAGTTGCCTCTGTGGTAGTAGTTACATTGGAGAAACCAAACGCCATGTCTCGGACCGCATTCGTGAACAAAAAGCAGACCTTAAACACGGTCGGACCAACACCTCGGCCGTGGCAGATCATTGTTATAATTCAGTAGGCTCACATGACATTGACTTCTCCAAGACAGAGGTTCTTTGCAAGCCATCTGGCTACCATTAGAGATTCGTTCATGAGGCTATCCACATATACAAACACAGAGACAATTTCAACCGAGAAGATGGATTCTGGCTTAGCAATCATTGGACGGATTTGATAAACCATTTGGGGTCTTAATTGATTGATCACTCTTAAGGTGGCTTTCAGACCGCATCCATTATTTTTCGTCTCCCCCCTCCTCTTTTCCAAACATAGATGGACTCGTCCATGTGAACAAATAGTCAAATCACTCTCTGTGGTGCTAACATAAAAAACGCCACTTTTTAAATTTTATTGCTGTGGTTTTCACACCTGATGATGATTGCTTGTGTTGCAGTCGAAACGTCGCGATAATTTTATTGTTTTATATTTTTATTATTTTATTGTTTCCCTACTACGTGACTTTACCGAAAGAACCAAGAATATGAATCCCTGCAGTCACGAAAGCTTTAAATCAAAACAAGCCTTCTGATTGGTACATAACGGGGCCTCAAAGGGGATTGGTTAGAGGCAGGGAAATTGAAGGTGATTGGAGGAGAAATAGAAATGGCGGGAAACGGAGGATGATTGACAGAGAGGTCGGTTGGGATACGTTCGAGAACGTGGAAGGTGATTGGCTGGAGGGAAAGTGGGTCAAGGAACCTTCGAGAAAGGGGCTTGAGGGATATTTCAGAGGGGGGGGGGGGGGGGGGGGAACGCGAGAACTCGAGACGCTTGGAGTGAAGTGACTTCTTGAAGACCGTGTCTCGTGCCTATGGAAATAACGACTCCTATTGTTGAAGACTACTGTGTCGTGTGTCACTACACATATATTGTATTTATATATATCTCTCTCGTCTGTCATCTCACTTGGATTTCATCAATTGAAAGGGGCATCCCCAAAATGTTTTGTTTTGCTTAGGGGCCCGCGATGGTCCGGCACCACCACGAACATTCAACAGTCTACTCTTGTCAACTAACATGTCACACGAGGTGTTTTACAATAGACGAGGGGGCACTTTGGTAGTTCCCCTTAAACATTACCGGGCGATTGCGGCTTGTGGACCGACCGCTGTATGACCCCGTGACATCCGATTCAGTGGTGAGCTCTCTCTGACCACAAGGCCACTCTGTGGACTCTGACGCTCATTCGTTAATCCTGCACACGTGACAATAAATAACAAAAGAAAAAATAAAACATGCTTTGGGCAGCACCCCCAATTGGCAACTTGTCATCGATTAGCTGCGTCGTGGTTCCAAATTGCGCGATTATTCCTGCCACGTGTTCTTTGCTGAATGGCTGTGTGTGTGGCACGGTCGGGTGGGCTTGCCACTGTGCAACTGGGATGTCCACGCAACATTAGCTCACTTTGGCCCAGTAAAGACAGCTCAGTAATGCACAGGGTGATTAGAAATCTGAGGCAGCACGAACTTCACCACCATTAAAAGTTATTTGTGGTCTATAACCATACATTATTATAAGCACTCTCTATATATATACTGTGTATACTTATGTTCGGCAGTGAAAACTTTTGAAATTAGATCTTACAAAAACGTTCCCTGTGGTCAAAGTTAAAAGTTTCTCAATATACAAACGAGCAAATGGGGCAGCACTCAACCCTGTTGCATCCATGAGTCATGGATGGAATTTCCACATTCCAATGACACAGCCAGTCTATACTTAAAACAACCACTGTTTACTTCCCAAAAAGTGGTACTTATTTTAATGACCCCAGAAGGAGTAATGAGTTGAGCTCACCCACAGCTTGAACTTTTGACTTTCCATTTGTGGAAATTGTTTTTAAAGGTTTGCTCCAACTTTATAAGAACAAAGTTTACAATAAATCCCCAAGGGAATGTAACGGTGTACACCTCAATGTGCCCGTTGGATATTCGAGGGTGCATGTGGAAACAGACCTTGGAGATAACGTGTTTACTATATTTAGTGTACATTACTTTCCTTAATCTTAGAACATTTAACACAAAGATATGTATATATGCATGTTTATATTTAACACTCCTCCTGTGTCCAGGATATAGATTAGTTAGCGGTTTAGCAGGGCTCACAATCACGAGGTCACGGGGTTCAAATCTAAACCAAGGTTGACTAAGCGCCTTATCTGTTTGGGCTGAATAACTCGATAAACGATCATTTGCAGATGACCAACTCACCCGGAATTCTGCGCACCAATGTCATCACATCTGGGAGGCCAAGCAGGATGGAGCCCGCACAGTGCTTGGATGGGCGACCATCATGCATATTATACAGATGCAGTAGGCGTTGTGGGCAACGGAGGGCAGTAGAGGGCAGTGCATACAAATCCACGATTGTTCTGCACCCTCTTAAACAACCTCAATCCACAATTACCAACGTGGTGGTCAGCCCGCAGGGTGTAGGGGAGGCCCCTCATCCAGCAGTTGATTGACAATTGGGCTGCGTGTGATTCATGTAATATATAAATAGTTAGGGCAGTCCTCGGCTTACGATCGGGTTACGGTCCAGAGAGCCGTTCGGAAGACGATTTGTTCGTATCTCAGAACTCAATATGTTAATTGTACAGTACATATTCTCAGTGCTATAAAATGTGTTATCGTCCAACAAAGGGAAGCATTGTTAAACTCATAAATAAGAAATATTGCACATTTGCATGTAACATAAAATGAAGTAACATGAAAAGAAAAACGTTTTATTTTCTCTTACCTTGAGTCCTGATGTTGGCTTGCTTGTCGGAAGGGGAGTGCATCACCCTGGATGCTGGGACTCATTACATCTCGCAGAGAATCGCTCCGCCAAACAAAGTAGTTCCACGGTTCGGCTCGTAAGTACGACTGAACGCGCACAACCTACATACGGGCGTATGTTGAACTTCTTTCGCACCGTACGTGGCCAACCGTACTGCACAGTAGATCGTCAGGTCACGTGTGGTGCGTAAGAATGTGGGTACTCCCCCCTTCAAGAATGCCCGGGCAGCGTGGAAGAGTAGACCAATTACCCTCCAGAGGTGGGCCCTCTTGCGCTTCTGCCATTGGAGGGCCTTCTACCAGCAGTGGCGTGAACAAGCAATTGCAGTGCCGCCCCCTTTAACTTCAAACGATATATTTCATTTTATTTTTCAACCATCGAGTGAAAAACACGCCGTGAACATTCTAACATTCAACTCTTTCTTAAAATTGGTATTGTTGAAATTCAATCGCAAACTCAGATGAGGGTGGCGGGGGGGAAGTGAAATACCAGGTGCCCCCGGTAAAAGAAAAATCCTTGCAAGATGAGCCGTTAAACTCGCGAAACGGTGAATCTTGTTTTGCTAAATTAAGCGTCCGCTTCTGAGAATTTCTAGGGACTCTGCATGAGTGTGAGACAGCGTGTGTGGCCGGCTGGTTCTCTCTGTTGTCTTAATCTCCCTCACGTTCACCCTGCCCGTGGCTGCAGGCTGAAAGGCAAATTTATGGTTCATCTCTCTCCAGGAATTTCCCTAACTTCTCAGGGCTGTCATCACTTTACAGCAGCACAACAAGTCAACTCACAAGGCACTATTATACGATAGTTGTATTAATGATCTGCTGCTGGGGCAGTAAGGGGAATTCCGTGTGGGAGGATTGTGTGTGCGCGCGCGCGCACGCGTGTGTGTGTTTGTGTGTGTGTGTGTGGGGAGCGGTGGTGCAGTGGTTAGCGCGCTGCACTGCACGAACCTGGAGGCTAGAGTTCGATTCCCGCTCACGGCAAACGCCAGTGACGAACATCTGAACCGGTCCTGGGCCTCCTCCCCTAGGTCGACTCGGCCTCAAATGAGTACCTGGTCGCGGTGTGTAAACATCGCCACTGGGGGAGACAAAGGCGGCCGGGCGTGGTGCTGGCCACCCACCCCCTCGCGGGCCGCTGCCGGCGCTAGCCCCAACAGTCTGTTCAGGCTACACGGAGGATCTTGGTCTTTGAATGCAAGGAGGGCTCTGCGCTACTTTCAACAAAGGGCCAACAAAACCGCACGAACTCTATCATGAAGTCACCTCCTCGTGGCGAACGGACCTCGACATTGGCACACACACACACAGATCTTCTTAGTTCGCTTGGCTGATGGCAGAAGCAGAGCAACGACTACACTTTCACATGCACGTGGTCAGTACTCGCGTCAGGAGTAGCGGGGTGTCCACGTATCGACGTGATGTCTCCTTCATTTTTCTTGGGGCGTCAGGACATCAAAGTTGCACGTTCCCATTATATGTCATTATATGTCATTATATTTCATTATATGTCATTATATTTCACGATGAATAATAATGGCACTGTGGGAGATGACCCGACGTTCTATAGATATGCTGGGCCCTGCCATAGTAACGGGGAGTTTGTCAGCACTGGCTCCGAGGCCCCCATCCATCCATCCCACACTTGTTCGATCACGGAGACGACGCGACCTAAAACAATTACTATTAATTTTTGGTTTAAAGCTTTCGTGACTGCAGGGATTCATATTCTTGGTTCTTTCGGTAATGTCACGTAGAAGGGAAACAAAATAATAAAAATATAAAACAATACAATTCTCACGACGTTTCGACTGCAACACAAGCAATCATCATCAGGTGTGAAAACCACAGCAAGAAAATTTGAAAAAAGTGGCTACTTTTTTTCAAATTTTCTTGCTGTGGTTTGAAAAATAGTGGCCAATTTGAAAGTGGCCACTTGGTGTGGTTTTCACACCTGATGATGATTGCTTGTGTTGCAGTCGAAACGTCGTGAGAATTTTATTGTTTTATATTTTAATTATTTAATTGTTTCCCAATTCTAATTAATATTTGCGCAGCCCTCCGCTGTACAAATCGAACAAAAGGCGCCGATGAAAGGGAGATGGGCATCGTGAGAACCACTGCGCGTGCGGATTGAACCATCGACCCTGATGACAAAACAACAACAACAACAGCAACAACAACAATACAGTTCCAGTGGCTGCCCGACTGGGCCGTGCGGCCAGCTGCCCGTAACCGTGTTGTGATTGTAACGTGGTTTGTTTTTTTAGGCGAGCAGCACTACGATGGAACAGCTGCCTCTATTAAAACAACAACAACAGCAGCAGCAGCAGCAGCGCTCCCGCTAGTGGAAGGCCGATGAGTAGGAGAGCAGCAGTAAGAAATAGAACAAAACAAAAACATGCGTTCGGACATCTCTGCCAGAGGCCACCCCGCGTATTCGCGTCTCCAAGTTTAGCCAAGCTCCCCCCCCCCACCCCCAGTCCCCCATCTCCCCTGACCCCCGTCAACTGGAAACAACAGAGAGCAGCAGAATGAGGGTAATCGCTTCGAGTGCAAACCCACAAAGATAGATGCCTCGTCGTTCTCCCTTGCCAGATTTTAGCGGTGCTGGCATTCACGTGTTCTGTATTGTACTCGGCGTGAAGTGCCAACTTTGGAGTAGAGAGAGAGAGACATAGAGACCAGCATGTTGGCGCTCATCTGATTTCTACCGGAAGAACATGAATCGTGATGAGCAGCATCAGCGGCTGTGGTCAATCCACCGCTGGATAAAGCCTCATCAACCCCACCCACCCATCCAGACCACCGCCATGTCTCACAGTCCTGCACGCGAGCAAATTCCATCACTCCAATTTGTCGGGAGATGTCCCCTCGGACGCGTTCGATTCCTTATGTATGCATGCTCAATTTCTTTCACACCGTACGTAGCCAACCGCGCTAATCGTAAATGCGAATGATCAGTGTGCGGTCCGAGCCTCAAGGCCGATGTCCAGATTGGGCGAGGGCAGTTCGTGAAATAAAAAAAAAACTCCTAAATGTACGTGGTGTGTTTACCGTGGTGTTTACCGTGGTGTGTTTACCGTGGTGTTTACCGTGGTGTTTACCGTGGCGTGTTTACCGTGGTGTGTTTACCGTGGTGTGTTTACCGTGGTGTGTTTACCGTGGTGTGTTCAGTGTGGTGTGTTTACCGACGTGTTTACCGTGGTGTGTTTACCGTAGTGTGTTTACCGTGGTGTATTTACCGTGGTCTGTTTACCGTCGTGTTTACCGTGGTGTGTTTACCGTGGCGTGTTTACCGTGGTGTTTACCCTGGTGTGTTTACCGTGGTGTGTTTACCGTGGTGTGTTTAGCGTGGTGTATTTACTGTGGCGTGTTTACCGGGGTGTATTTACCGTGGTGTGTTTACCGTGGTGTTTACCGTGGTCTGTTTACCGTGTCGTGTTTACCGTCGTGTTTACCGTCGTGTTTACCGTGGTGTTTACCATGGTGTATTTACCGTGGCGTGTTTACCGTGGTGTTTACCGTGGTGTGTTTACCGTGGTGTTTACCATGGTGTGTTTACCGTGGTGTATTTACCGTGGTGTATTTACCGTGGTGTGTTTACCGTGGTGTGTTTACCGTGGTGTGTTTACCGTGGTGTGTTTACCGTGGTGTTTACCGTGGTGTGTTTACCGTGGTGTTTACCATGGTGTGTTTACCGTGGTGTATTTACCGTGGTGTATTTACCGTGGTGTGTTTACCGTGGTGTGTTTACCGTGGTATGTTTACCGTGGTGTGTTTACCGTGGTGTGTTTACCGTGGCGTGTTTACCGTGGTGTATTTACCGTGGTGTTTACCGTGGCGTGTTTACCGTGGTGTTTACCATGGTGTGTTTACCGTGGTGTTTACCATGGTGTGTTTACCGTGGTGTTTACCGTGGTGTATTTACCGTGGTGTGTTTACCGTGGCGTGTTTACCGTGGTGTTTACCGTGGTGTTTACCGTGGTGTGTTTACCGTGGTGTTTACCGTGGTGTGTTTACCGTGGCGTGTTTACCGTGGTGTTTACCGTGGTGTTTACCGTGGTGTGTTTACCGTGGTGTTTACCGTGGTGTGTTTACCGTGGTGTGTTTACCGTGGTGTGTTTACCGTGGCGTGTTTACCGTGGTGTGTTTACCATGGTGTATTTACCGTGGTGTGTTTACCGTGGTGTGTTTACCGTGGTGTGTTTACCGTGGTGTTTACCGTGGTATGTTTACCGTGGTGTGTTTACCGTGGTGTGTTTACCGTGGTGTTTACCGTGGTGTATTTAGTGTGGTGTTTACCGTGGTGTGTTTACCGTGGTGTGTTTACCGTGGTGTGTTTAGTGTGGTGTTTACCGTGGTGTGTTATCGTGGTGTGTTTACCGTGGTGTGTTTACCGTGGTGTGTTTACCGTGGCGTGTTTACCGTGGTGTTTACCGTGGTGTATTTAGTGTGGTGTTTACCGTGGTGTGTTATCGTGGTGTGTTTACCGTGGTGTGTTTACCGAGCACTCGCACGCTGGAAGGCCGAGCACGTGCGTAAGTTAACAGTTTAGCTGCGCTCGCCTGCCCAGCCGTGGGTAGTACCCACCCGGCCACAGTCGTGGGCATCCCTGCAGAGTCTGAAGTGGTTGTAGGGGTGGCGTGTCCGCTTGCGTCCCCCAGCCCACTCGTTAATTCCCTCCCTCTCTAACCTCCCACTCTCCACACCACCCACCGCCAACCACCCACCCACCGCACCCCATCCGGCTGATATCCAATGTGTGTGTTTTTATACCCAAAACATAAGCTCAGCCCTCCACCCCCTGCATGCACATCCCACCGATCCCGACAGGAGCGTGCAGGCTGCCCAATTTCCATCTTGCCTGCTCCCACGATCTCACCGCTCGCCCTCTCACCGCTCGCTCACACTCACCGCTCTGTCTCACTCACCGCTCTGTCTCTCTCACCGCTCGCTCACTCACCGCTCGCTCACTCACCGCTCGCTCACTCACCGCTCGCTCACTCACCGCTCGCTCTCTCACCGCTCGCTCTCTCACCGCTCGCTCTCTCACCGCTCGCTCTCTCACCGCTCGCTCACTCACCGCTCGCTCACTCACCGCTCGCTCACTCACCACTCTGTCTCTCACCGCTCTCTCTCACCGCTCGCCCTCTCACCGCTCGCTCACTCACCGCTCGCTCTCTCACCGCTCGCTCTCTCACCGCTCGCTCTCTCACGACTCGCTCTCTCACTGCTCCGCTCGCTCGCTCGCTCGCTCACTCACCGCTCACTCTCTCTCACCGCTCGCTCGCTCACCGCTCGCTCTCACTCACCGCTCACTCTCTCTCACCGCTCACTCTCCCTCACCGCTCGCTCTCTCACCGCTCCGCTCGCTCACTCACCGCTCACTCTCACTCACCGCTCGCTCTCTCACCGCTCTGCTCGCTCACTCACCGCTCGCTCTCAATCACCGCTCGCTCTCTCACCGCTCGCTCACTCACCGCTCTCTCTCACTCACCGCTCGCTCTCACTCAACGCTCGCTCACTCACCGCACTCTCTCTCACCGCTCTCTCTCTCACCGCTCGCTCTCTCACCGCTCGCTCGCTCACCACTCGCTCTCACTCACCGCTCGCTCTCTCACCGCTCCGCTCGCTCACTCACCGCTCGCTCTCACCGCTCGCTCATTCACCGCTTGCTCACTCACCGCTCGCTCTCACTCACCGCTCGCTCTCTCACCGCTCCGCTCGCTCACTCACCGCTCGCTCTCACCGCTCGCTCATTCACCGCTTGCTCACTCACCGCTTGCTCACTCACCGCTCGCTCTCTCCATCGCCTCGTCTCTTCACCCTTGGCTCGTCTTTTCCTTCCGCTTCTCCCTGCTCCATCCCTTTGCCTTCACAGAATCAGATGATGTGTCTTTACTGGAGAAATCCGATGTTCAGTCGGGGCGGAGCAGAACGTCACAACAACAAACAGTACAAAAAAACACGATACGAGTGCAAAGTATAAAGGTAAATAAATTACTTTATAAAATGTATATATGTAACTAAAACTCAACCATATATCTATGTTTGTGTCTTATCGGGTAAGGCCTACTGAGCTTTATAGCTCTTTTCCAAAAGCGACCTGACCACAAATGATAGCTCAACGAAGTGGCTTATCACGTGGAAATTTATAGCAACAAAATAATCACACGCCCGCAAAGACGAAGATCCCCACGTATAGCCAGAAACGACTTTTGGGGTAAGCGCTGTTAGCGAGTAGCACCTATGAAAGCCAGCACGGCACACGAGGGGGTGGGTGGCCAGCACCACGCTCGGCCGCCTTTGTCTCCCTTGTGAGACAAACACACACACATACGAGCACGCCCATGCAAACACAAAGATCCTTCTCGCCACATGTGCTGTAAGGCCGATGATGTTCTACGTAGGGTTGTCGTCAGTGCCGGATTAAGCTAGTGCGGGGCCTGTAGCACGTGATGTTATGAAGGGGCCCTAAATAAATAAATAAACACGTAAATATTAAAACACTATTTTTTTTACTTGCATAGTAACGTAATTGTATTTATTAATTTGCTATACAGCCAGATAATACGACAAATCGCTAACTTTAAAGACCCAGTCATTCATAAAAGTTGAAGGCGGTATAGTACTATAGTAATAGAGCAAGTGCAGAATCACTGAACCGGAATTGATAACTTGAAAGCATTTAGCGCGGTTCCCTTGAAAGTGCGGGGCCCGTAGCTACTACACATGTAGCTACTACTACATATGTAGCTACTACACATGTAGCTACTACATATGTAGCTACTTGTGTAGCTACATGTGTAGTAGTGTAGCTACTTGTGTAGCTACTTATGTAGTAGCTACTACACATGTAGCAACTACTACATATGTAGTAGCTACTACATGTAGCTACTACATATGTAGCTATTACACATGTAGCTACTTGTGGTGCTACATGTGTAGTAGTGTAGCTACTTATGTAGTAGCTACTACATATGTAGCTACTACTACATATGTAGCTACTTGTGTAGCTACATATGTAGTAGCTACATATGTAGCTACTACATATGTAGCTACTACTACACATGTAGCTACTATACATGTAGCTACATGTGTAGCTACATGTATATACTATACATGTAGCTACATGTGTAGTAGCTACATGTGTAGTCGCTACTCTTGCTACTAGGAGAATCCGGCACTGGGTGTCGTGGCGGTACTGCCCAACTCTCCGATGTGTTTGTTTAGTTGTACCGCGTGCTGTTCGGCACGATGTCCGACGTTCCGATCCCCGCGCTGCGAGCTTCATTCAGGAATCGAATGTGTCCGGCGTTGTTTTTTTTTACTCCACGTGCTCGAAGCAAACTATTTCGCGCTGCTTACCAAGAGCTGGGAGCGACAAGCCAGGCCACCATGCCGATCAACGCGTGACACAACTCGAAATGCACAATTGGAGAGAGAGAGCGAGCGAGTTGAGTGAACACCTAACCCAGACCACCATGGCACAGGCGGCAGTGTGACCTCCACTACGCCCGGCTGCCACCTGACTCCACGGTGTTTGTAATTCTTCTTTCGTATGGCTGCTGATGCAGAGCAACAGCTGAAGCAATTGGCGGGACCCCGGGGTCCCATCACTGCCCCGGGGGTGGGAAAACCCGCGTAGCGACACGAGTCTTGCTGCCTTACCGACAACAAAACTGGTGGTCAATCGATTGGTCTCGTCGAGAGCTACTCGGGGACACTAAGTTTCGTAAAAAGTTGAAAAATTACATAAACACGTTCAATTCACTGCGTGGGAGGGGCGGCGGTGGGGTTCGCCTTGGCAAAGAAGCTGAGGATCGACGTCTGACCGGAGGGCGACTGCGGCGGACGCCCCCCGGGGCTTGCGTTTGGCCGGTGGGGTGGCGCCCATCGTGTCGATCGCCGCCTGCTGCTGCTGCTGCTGGCGCTTGTTGGCGTGAGTCTGGGCGGGCGGCGCGTTGCTGTCGGGATCACGAGTGGGGCGGACTGAACAACAATAATAATTATTGACCTGATTTTTGCGGGTCCCCGGGGTCCCGCAAAATGATTCAGCTACAATTTCACATTCAGGTAGCCGCGTTGGGAGGAGCGGAGCAGCGTATCGCTGTGATTTCTCATTCGTATTTGTACCGCGCTTGTGTTTACAGACGGAGCCACTTGCAGTTGGCTTGGAGCAGCAGGCCCAGGTTCAGATATCACTTCAGCTGGAATTGTAGCACAATGCAGGAACGGCTTGCACACACGCACACCATGAATGTGTCTGGATCACAACAAGCACCAAGCGGCATCGCTTCACTTGATTCGGCCGTACTCTGAGCAGTTACAAAGCTTCAAGAAAGTATCACTCGAAACGTCCCAGTCGACAACCGTGCATGCAAGCACACACGTGCGCCTGAAAACTCAATTCTGTCGCACGAAGACAGATCCGCTCCTTGGCTCTTGTAGACCGTTGTGCTGCTGTTGGTGCGAGCGCCGATTTGAGGCCACGATGGACGAACTCCTGGGGCGGCTGCTGTCGCTACCACAAGGCACGCTTAAGTCATCTTCGTTTTTCACCGTGCTGACGTTGACCGCGAGGCTGCACGAGACGCTCACTTTAGGCCGAGCCAACCCAAGGGATGCCCAAGACAGTTTTGGATTTCAATTTTCACTGATGTGCATGGCCAGGAATTGAACCTCGGGTCACTGCTGGGCTCACTGTACCCCCTGGTAATCACCCGCACCACTGCTATCCACAGCAAAGGCAACGATTCCCCGTATAGCCTTAACAAACTGTAAGGGCAAGTGCTGTTAGCGAGCACCTATGAAGGCCAGAAGGGTACACGAGGGTGTGGGTGGCCAGCACCACGCCCGGGCTACCCACACGTACACACGCACACACACGTGCGCATGTTGTACCGCAACCGAGAGAACGTGAATCTATTCATGCATTCAACCATTAAATCAGTCTGTCAGTGCCCACTATTTACCAGCCACAAATTCCGAAGAGATTCACTCTATATTTTGCAATGGTTACCTAGGTGACTTGAGCCTTAATATGGAGAGTCATTAAAGTGTAAAATGTGAAGTTTTAGTGATGACCCTGGCCTAAAATGGCATTGTGGCAGAACACTTGGCTCACAAGTGGATAACTGTAAGTTGCACTTTATTTAGCGCGCGGTTACAATTTAGTTTGCTCAGTCGGTGTTAGCCGCCGAGGTCGTGAAGGGTTGCTTCGTCTCATTCCTGCTGCACTGTGCCCCCGGTACCGGCTATCCGTTCTGCTATGATGTGCACCGATGCTGAGTATATCGAGGGCGATATTGGCACGGACAATAAATATTTAAGGCCAAAACAGGAAGGATTCTTCACAATCCTGGCTAAACGCCTGATGAAGCTCGTTGTAATCACCAGCGAAACGTCGTACTCGAATTGTAAATGCGGTGGGTTTACTTATCCAACACACCGGTGTGCTGAAGTAGTCACGAATTGGCACGTTTTGGTTACGCGACAAGCCTCGCTAATTGGCTGTGTTTGGCGGTGGCGGGTTTAAGGACATTTATATTAAAATCATTACAAGGTCAATACAATCAGTACGGCTTTGTGGGAAGTTCACGGTACCTGTCCAGAGCGCACAGAAGGATTGACCCTGGCGTGGTCTGCCACTGACTCCGTGCCATCAATGGAGAGGAGCACCTGCCCAATGCTTACCCCACGTTTTTATTTTTTTTACAAGGTAAGTCCCACTGAGCTATATAGCTCTTTTTTCAGAAGCGACCTGGTCGTCACAAATGATAGCCAAACGAAGCGGCTTATCGCGTGGAAATGTATAGCAACAGTCGAATACTCTAAACGCGTGACGTTCATTCTAAAGGTGGAGGGATAAACAGGACACGGAGAAAAATGCACGTGACCACGGGGAGGACACGCAAACTCCAAATGTACAACAGGCGTCAGGTCGGGATCGAACCCACAACCTCCTGTATATCAGGCGAGGTAGTTAACATTTCGCCACCCTGCCACCAAACACACGCTCGCACACGTTCCGGATTATAAGACGCACCCCAAACTCTTTCTTTAAAACACAGGGGAAGGAAGCACGTCTTACAATCCGGAGAATACCGCATTTAAAGCTGAGAGATATTTGTGACTGTTACACAGATGTCGCCCGCTTGTGGATGATGTCACAGGCTCTGTAACAGAGACACTTCTCTCCAAACAGCCAACACACTTCGGTAATATCTGGATGATGGTGGTGGTTGTGGCAGGTACCACCTTGTGCAGTGCAGGATGATGTGAGTGGGGGGAGTGGTGGTGGGGGGGGGGTGAGAGCCCCCCCTCGCCCCGCTTTACAAATAATTTTAAGTCACTTTAGCGAATGAGCATCGCAGTCTTTGCTCACGTAATGGCATAGGGGGTGTTGAGAGTTAGAGCAGTCGGTCACGGCAGATGAAAGCAGACCGTATCGTTTACTCATTCTGTGCAGCGTTGAACATTTGTTTAAACTTCGTGTAACATTGCCTGTGCCGTGCTCCCCACTCGGTCGTTGTTCGCCCCCTCTCCCCCCCCACCCATGCCCCCCCCCCCGCCCCCCCTGTAAACAAAGATCACGCTACAGGGGGCTGACCTTGTGGGAAGTTCAACAGTCGTAGGCCTATGGACATCCTGGCCCCGCGTCATAGCAATGTGGAATTTCCACCACTGCGCTCAAGGCTGCCAAAGCCAAATCCCCGATGCTTCGTTGGGCGAGGGAGATGCCATTGCCGCTTAGTACAAAGACAAGGATATCCCCGCCCCCATATAGCCTTAACGGACTATTGGGGCAAGTGCTGCGAGCGAGCACCTATGGAAGCCGGAACGGCTCACGAGGGGGTGGGTGGCCAGCACC